GTCCAAACATGAGTCAAGGAATATGAGAGACACTGCAGACTGGGCCAGCCAAAATCAGCAGTAGCAGAACACATTATAAACCATCCTGGGCATAAAATGCTGTTTGAAAACACTGAAATTCTGGACCATGCCAACAACTATCAGGTCAGAATGCACAGGGAAGCCATCGAAATCCACAAACACTTGGATAACTTCAACAGGAAAGAAGAAACCCTTAAAGTAAACAAGGTTTGGTTACCAGTCCTACAAAATAAGAAAATCAGCACTCAGCAAATGCAAATGGGAAACCAACCAGGGTCAGGGGCTTTCCCAGCAGACAATAGCAGACAATATCCTTGTTTGCATATCCTCCCACCCTGAATCTATGCCATTAATAAAAGAACAAAACCTATTCTACACAGAACAATACACATTTTACATGGGAATCACTCCTCCCTACCCAGGATCTCACAGTATATATAGACCCACTCTCTTCCATTCCAGTATTCTCTGAAGATGCCAGCCACAGATGCTGGTGAAACATCAGAAAGAAACTCTTCTAGAACATGGCCACACAGCCTGAAAAACCCACAAAAAACTATGGATGCTAGCCATGAAATCCTACGACTTCACATTGTTTAAGGTCTGTTCTCAAGGCTTTAATTTCTTGTCTTAGATTTTGTTGCATTTCTTGGATTTATGTATTATTTTCCTTATTTCTTCTAAAAGTGAGCTTTGTTCTATAGATGTTCTTCTCTGTTGCTGTAAATTTGCCTGTGCCTGTGCCACTGCTACTCTTCTTGGCATTGTTGCCATTTTAAATGATTTATCTAGTCAAATTTCTATAGATTATTCTAGGTGTTTTTTCATTCTCTTTTTTTCTTCTAATTTCCTTCTTAGTTTATTCCAATTTCTATGAATTTCTTGTTTTTGAGTTCTTCTTTTGTTAGTTGCTTTGTTTGACTAATTTTGCTTTATTCTTATTCCAGTTTCAAATATAATAACTCTATATCTCTTCATTACTTTTGGGTACTCTTTAGTACTTTTTATTTCTTCTCTCTTAATTTTTTAAAATTTGATTAAAGTACTTGAATTGCATAGAACTTTGATTTATAAACCATGATTGCGTGGCAGAGGGGCAGGATATCAATAAAAATTATTATTATTATTATTATTATTATTATTATTATTAAACAGTCCATTTGTTTCACAATTTATTTAAATCTAGTTCTTTAAATCGGAGCTTTAGTTAAGAGTTCATCAATTTATTAAAGTAATTTAAATTAAAAGTTCAACAGGAGTCAACAAAACAGTTTATCAATGCCTTTGGTTCAGTTTATTGAATTCAGCAACTAATTAGGTTCAGTTCATTAAATTCAGCAATCCAATGTTTTAAAGTCGCTTTAGTTCATTTAAATCAAAAGTTCAACAAGAATTCACAAAACAGTATCGAAGTGCCTTCAGTTCAGTCTACTGAATTCTGCAGATGATTGAATTCATTCCATTAAATTCCATTCAGTCCTTTAAATTCAACAACAGTCAAATGTTTTAAGGTCTCTTTAATTCAATAACATATCACTTTAATTCATTCAATTCGAATAAATGTAATTCATTTACTTCATTAGTCTGTTGATTCATTCATGTATTAATTCATTAATTCATTAATTTCTATTTTTTCTAAATTCGAGTCAATTTTGTGTTTGATGTTTATTCTATTTCATTTCTGGTAACTTTTTCTTTAACTGGTCTTTAAATTTTAACTGTTATTACTAGTATTGTTTGACATCCAGTACTTGTACTGTAGCAATATCTTGTAGAACCTAATGAGTTATCTTATTGCAGACTATTTGTGGACTAGTTTTCAGCTTTCATTTTCTCTCTCACTTTCTCCTTTTTCCTTTAATCTTAATTTTGACATACAATTCTATCTTTCTCATTAAGATAGTTTCTTAAAACTCCATTTTCTACTTACTGTTTGCAAGATTTTTGAATGGTGACTTGTTTCTGCTGGGGTTCTGGTGGAAAATTCCCTATTTAAATGTGTTGAGGCTTTCCACTACACTCGCCTTCCCTCCCTGAAGTCTTTTTGTTAGTCTCTTTTGTTAGTGGAATGTTAGTAGCTTGGCGGCTGGCACTTAACTGCTTCAGTATTTACAAAGGACTTGGCTCTCTTGGCTTTCCCAACCCATTGCTTGCTGCAGTTTGGTTTTTACTCCCTGACGCTAGGTGCCCATTCGTGCTTTGCACTTCGGGTTCTTCTCTTCTCAGTCTAGCCAGGTGGATTCTGAGCCTCCATGAGGACCTTTGCCTCTCCCGTGCTGAGGAGAGGTTTTTTTGGTGGGGGGGGTGTCCCCTTGCTCTTCACTGTTATTCTCTGTTGTTCCTCTTGTTCTGTCTCTTCTTTCTCTCCTCCAGACTTACCTCTTAAAACCCTTTGTAAAAAGCAGGCTGCCAGAGCTCCAACAGCTTGCTTCTCATGCCTGAGCTAGCCTGCTGGAAGTCCCTGCAAAGCCTTGAATTATTTTCTCTAATCTTTTAGCTTTCTTAATATTAATGGCAAGTGGTTTCCATGTCAAAGGTGGCAACTCCATTCTAGGTACTCCATTGTTCAAAGACATTTGCTCTGATTGTTCAGTTTTACAAGTTTACAAGTTCCCTTCTGATTCTTCTCTCCTGGAAACTTTATTTCAATCCCCAAATCTGTCCCAGGATACATATTACCCTATAAATATGCCTGCCAAGGCACCTCCAGCTTGATCTCACCTGAGATTGAGACAGACACTCTGTTACTATCTCGCTTGACTTCTCAGCATTGCTGCCTACTGCTGAGCCATTTCACTTAACAGTGTTATCCAACTGGAGCCCCACTTCTGGAATTGGTAGAGTATCACCCCCTGAAATCCCTTTAGTCACTATCCATCAGTCACAAGTGACAGATAAAAAGGCAGTGTAACAACAACAACAACAACAACAACAGACAGACAGACTTCTAAAAGGACTTTGGAAAATCCCATTCAGCCACCTCTTTGGGTACTGAGATTTTCCTAGAGATTGTCTGCATACTTTCAAGTCTTTCTTTCAAAGCATAAGGCAGGGGCAGGAATCACAAATCAGTGAGGGGCTCCCACCACTGTGGCCAGCCAATTGGGAGGTGCTTTTGGTTCCCACAGAATGCTGAGAAATGTAGTCCCCAGCTTAAGCCACAAGTCCCAACTTCCTGAGGCCCCAGAAGCCAACTGGGGCCTTCCAAAGGCCTCTGGTGCCTGCTGGGAAAGGGCCAGGGCCTGGGCCATGTGGAGGAGACAGCATGGATCTGGCAGCTCCCTCCCACCAACCGGGCTAGCCCGGTAAGTCAGGCGGCCCCCTTTCCTGTTACAGCAACTGCAGCAGAAGGAAAAGCATGATGGAATTTCCCCTTTTTTCTAAGCAGCTCTTAAAGGTAGGATCACAGAATCAGAGTTGGAAAAGACCCTAAGGGCCATACAGTGCAACATCATTATGCCATGCAGGAATACACAATCTCCCAACAGATGGCCATCCAGCCTCTGTTTAAAGACTGCCAAAGGAAACTCCACCACTCTCTGTAGCAGCATATTCCACTGTCAAACAGCTTTTACTCTCAGGAAAATTTTCCTAATATTTAGGAGAAATCTCTTTTCCTGTAGCTTAAATCCATTGCTCCATGTCCTAGGACAGTGGTCGGCAAACTATGGCCCACGGGCATGCACATGATGGTAAGTGCCATTTTGGAAGGCAAAACGGTGCCGGCGTCGTGTGCATGTGCTTGTGACGCCGGTGCTGTTTTGCCTTCCAGAAGAGCACCCACCATCGTATGCATGCATGCATGAGCACGGGAACCACTTTGGAAGGCAAAATGGTGCCCCCCACTCTTGTGTGCAGGCGCACAACGGCAGCAGTGTTTTGGAAAGCAAAACAGCGCCAGCGTCATTTTGCCCTCCAAAATGGCACCCGCTGTGCGCACGCATGCACACCATGGTGGGCACCCTTTTGGAAGGCAAAATAGCACCGGCATTGTGCATATGCACTCGAGGTGCCAGCACCATTTTGCCTTCCAAAATGGCACCCACCGTGGTGCGCATGACTACGCGAGCGTGGGGCACCATTTTGCTTTTCAAAATGGCACCCGTGCTCATGCACGCATGTACACGATGGCAGGCGCCATTTTGGAAGGCAAAACGGTGTTGGTGTCATGCGCATGCGCTTGCTATGGCGGCACCATTTTGCCTTCCAAAATGGCACCCGCCGTGGTGCGCATGCATGTGCGAGTGTAGGTGCCATTTTGGAAAGCAAAATGGTGCCCCGTGCT